TTTTCCCCCCCCCCCCGCCCCCCCCTTTCCTGAGAATGACATTATATGGTGTGGAATATCCCTTTGGTCCATTCAGGTCAGCTGTCCCAGCTGCGTCCCCTCCCAGCCTCTTGCCTACCCCCAGCCTACTTGCTGGGGAGTGAAAAATAGAGAAAGCCTTGACGCTGTGCAGGCATGTTCAGCAATAGATAAAACATTGGTGCATTATCAACGCTGTTTTAGCACAAATCCAAACCACGGCACCATATGTGCTGCTATGAAGAAAGTTAACTCTGTCACAGGCAGGGGAAAAGCGGCTTACTGTTCCCCTGGCTTTCACCTGTATCACAGCACGAAATGCTTGGTTCTGACAAAGCAAATGACAGCAGCGTCTGCTGGAAGTGGGGAGGCAGGCTTCACCTGAAAAACCTGGGGTATTTAGGCAGTTCCTTGCAGCCTGGTCTATTCCAGGAGGGACTGAGCCCTCCCGGCTCTCCAGGGCTCCCAGCACAGCGAGTGTTGCTGGATTTGACTCAGATGAATTCTCCCAGTGTGGGTTCATATTGAGATGTACACTGGAATGAATACCCCTGCATTCAAAGCCAAACAGAGCTGGGATTGCTGAAAGTCATCCATGCTTACCTGGAAGCTAGGCTTCTAGGTACATGAATTTCGCAGCCTCCTGTTGTGCCTGTAACGCTGTGCCTGAATCCCACAGGCTAGCTGTAAAGTGGCATGGAGCCTCCCCTGCCTGGATGTGTGTCCATCACACACATCCAGTGGAGAGAAAACTATTTGTAGGGTGCCTTCCGCTTCTAGTGTGCCTCATCTAAGAAAAAAGGCTTAAGTTACAGCATATGAATTGCTCCCTAAAAGCTTCTGCTTTTTCTTCGCTATAAAAGCGATCAAGGACATTTGCTGCTGACATCCAAAGTTAGATGAAATGGCCTTGATCTTAAGGATTTTCATGCTTTTGAAGTAGCCATAATTGGAGCACTTGAAGGGAGAGATAACCTGCAGATTAAACCTATTCTGGCAGTGGATCCAGTAGCAGGTATCAGATGCAAACCTCTCCCAGTTCAGAGGTCTGGCTTTTTACTGGGGCATGACCAAATTAAGGGTTGGCTGGGCCCCTGGGATTGTTCATCATAAAACTCTGCCTTTTTTGGCTCTAGAAGCTTATAATAAATTTGGGAACCAGGCAGGTTATACCACAGAAAGGTCCCGAGGGCCTATAATCACAGTATTTCTGCCTCTTCTCTTGCCTCCTAGCTCCAAGTGGAACAGTGCAAGCAATTACCTTGACAGTATTTTCTACATTTCCCCTTTTGGTCCAGGTTTGCTTCTGGAGATGCCACGCTGAGCTGCAGTGAGGATGACAAGGAACATTTTCAATTCAAAGACATCAGGGATGGGTTCAGCTCGACCTTTGAGAAGATTGTTGAGTCTGACCTTATGAAGGGTACATACTACAGCAGCTTGGACTCTTTGGACGTCCTCTCTCTCACAGACGAGACAGACAGCTGTGTCAGTTTTGAGGCCCCACTCACTCCATTGATCCAGCAAAGGGTCAAGGAAAGCCCAGAACTCTTGGAGCAGAAACTGGTAGCACAGCAGAGAGAAGCCCTTCACCACATGGATGCTGATAAGCAAGAGCAGGCAGCAGCAAAGCCAGCGGAGGGGGATTTTGGGAGCCCTCTCAGGCACTCAATTACCAGCAGCAGATCAGAGAATGTGCTGAGCCGGTTGTCCTTGAGGAGTATCCCAAATGGGTTCCATGTGGAAGGGTCAGAGGAAGATGCCACCAAGATCATTAACTCCATCAGGTAAGGCAGGCTGGGAATTCCTCAGGCAAAGGGGTCCTTGTCTTACGGGGTCCCAGTCCAGGAGCAAGGCTCAGAGGACGTGATAGAGATGGAGCTGCTTTTTTTTCCCCTTGTGCTTCCTCTCATGTGCTGTCATGGCAGAGAGGCCAAACACCAACAGGAAAAACTTCCCTACCCGTAGGTTAGGACTGCAGCTGGGGACCAAGGTCTCATGGCATTAAACCACCCAGTCCCCAGCAGGCCTCTGTCTCAGTCCTCCCTGTTCTGAAACCCAGGACCCCAAACTGCAGGTGAGCTGCAGGGTCCTGTAGGAGCCCTGCGAGCCCAAGAAAAGCCAAGGCTCAGCACTTTATGTTCACGTTTGCTCTGGAGGGCACCACCATTCATCTGGCTGCTCACAAATCCCATCTTTCTTATAGCAGGCAAAGCCGGGGCTCCTTTGAGCAGACCACTGCCTTGTCTGCCTGACATCTGCAAAAGCCCTTGGCAGGTTGGAGGCAGTCAGGCACACTCCCAAGCATGCTCTGAAGTGCAGGGAAACCTCAAGGTTTCACTTAGGACTGAGTGCCCCAGTAGAGGCCTCCCCAAAGGTTCTTATGCGGGCAGTGAGGATGCATACTCATAGTCTCTCTCTGCAGAGACTTCATCCTCTGGACCAGCTCAGACCCAAACCATCATTCCTGGGAGGCAGCAGCCTCATCTGCAGGGCAGTTCCTTGCATGAGGAAGCCAGGTGATGAGCAGCCAGGTCATGGGAGAGCTGGAGTGAGGCCATGTGTCCAGCTAGCTATCAGGCCTTCAGTGAGTCACACTGCCCCAAAATGTGCAAATAGGTGCCATAATGCCATCACTGGCCTTGGGCACGAAAATAAAGAGACGCAGCCCCACCTACATGGTGCTAGTGGGGCTGCTCAGCATGTTGTCTATGGGAACAGCTGGCCACGATGCCAGCCAGCAGCTGGGAGAGGAGCAGCCCACCAGCAACAGCAGGTCTGCTGTCAGTCCCATTGGCATGATCTATACAAGTGCAGTTTCTCATCCTCGGCGAACAATCTGAACTGAAAAGCATACCACCTATCCCTAAGATTTCCTGAATGTCCACAGCTCTGAAAGAGCTTGGTATCCCCTTCCATACCAGCGGAGAGAGAGGAAGCTTGAAAAGGTGTTGGGGCTGCTTGCTTTGAATGGATACATCCGCATTTCTCAGGGAGAAGTCACCTTCTCTTCAATCTTTTTCTGCAAATTTGAAATTAAACCATACTGTTTCATTTGACCTGAAATGAAAGAGGGTTTGTCCAACATCCAGTTCACAAACGCGTTGTTGTTTTTTCGTATTTTCTGGCTAGGACAAGAAGAAATCAAAATGTGACATTTTCTATGGGTTTCATCAAGTCACATTGCTGCTCCTTGAATTGTTTCTTGTTTCTGTGTAGTGATGCCAGCTTGAAAGATGCACTGTCAGACTCTGACTCCGACATGGGCAGCACGGAGCAGCTTGACCAGGGCAGCACGGACACCTTGGCGAACGGCTGCAGGGCGGATAGCGAGGCTGCCAAGAGGCTAGCCAAGCGCCTCTACAACCTCGAAGGGTTCAAGCGCTGCGATGTGGCACGCCAGCTCGGGAAAAAGTAAGTGGGGCTTTGGGTTGCAGCCAACCCTACGAGGGGGTTGACTGAGATGGCAGCATTGAGCGTGGCCAGCAGAAACACAGCTGTGGTGGGGAGGGTCTGAGGGAGCAGTGGTCGTGCTGGGAGGACAGGACAAAGGCAGGAAGGGATAAGCCTGCTATTACAAGGGCTTGCTGGATGGAGCCGGGGCTATTGGAGATCCTTCCAGTTGAAACTGGTCCAAGTCCAATGCCCTTGCATCCTACAAGTTGCTTGCGTGTATTGGGCATTAACCGCCACAAGCTGCTGCCTGCCAGAACCAAGAGATTTCTGCATTTGGTAAGGGCCCAGCAAGACCCTCCCTAAAGCGATCACCAGGCTGAAGGGTTTGGGATCCAGACCTGGGTCTGCTGTGGGCTCCCTGCCAGTCCCCAGGTTTTTGATGTCTGCACCCCAAAATCTTCTTGCTACAGTGCCTCCTGACCCAGTCTGCATAGATGGCATGAAGGGTTGGGTGGAGAGCCAGGTACACACCGGAGGTCCAAGCACCTCAGCTGGTAGATTTGCCTGGGTAAGGCAGAAGGGAAATAAAAAGTGTTTATTCAAAAGTGGGAGAGTTACAGAGATTTCTAAGAGACAGAGTAACAGTAACGAGTGTAGCAGTAACAGATTATTTTTAGGATGCCAGTGGGTGTGAGGACACCAATCCCCATCATCCTTCTCGTGGATCAGATATAACCTGTGTTGCTGGGGGGTTTTTTATGTCCTTGAAAAGTCTCACTCCTGTCTGGATCAGCAGGACACAACTGTCCCTCAGCAAATACCCAAGCTTTCAGTACCAAGGATTGTCTGTCACTCCCAGCTTAGTCCTGGGACAGAAGGAGCCCATGAATGATCTCCTAGAGAGGCTCTTCGTATCACCTGGCAGCATCCTTGTTCTTTTCTTTTGCCGTGGTTCTTGTAGCAGGTGCGTTGCTGGTTGCTGCTGCCTCAGGTCTAGCATCCTTCTCCATTCTTGCAAATTTGCCATGCCAGCTCACTGACTGGGGGAAGTTTCAAGCGATTGGTCTCTGGGGATGCATCTGAGTGTGTCCCTTTGCTAGTCCCTGCAATCCTCACCCACACCTGCAATCCTCACACCTTGGAAAGCTGTTTGGTGACCCACATTTGGGAATTGACACAGCCTTTAAAAGAAGACTTGTTTTGATCAGCTGGGTTTTTGACATCTGAATCATTTCCCAGCACAAGAACTGGATGGAGCTGCAGGCTCTTGGAGCAAGCAGGTGCATTTGCAGAGCAGGAAAGGAAGAAGGATGAGGATAGGTGTGTTTTAAGTTGGTCTTGCTCACTTAAGACAATGTAAGACCAACCTACAGTGGTGGGAGCAGGTTAAGTTTAAGTGATGCTTTCAGGCCAGCTCCATGTAGGAGGTGGACTGGCTAGGAGGGTCGTTCAAAAAGTAAAATCTCATTTTAAAGCTTTTAAAGTAATTTTAACTCCTTCTTTTTCTTTGTGAACATTGGCAATTTTCTCAAAAAAAAAAAAAAAAAATCCAAACCAAAACCAAAACCATTCATCATTGTCAAACAAGTAGAAAAGGCGTGATGAACAAGGAAATGGAGGTTGGCTATCTCCAAACAGTTTCTTTCCAGCTGACACAATTCTGTGAAGTTAACCTCAAATCCAGAAATTACCTTTGTCTCTCTGAAGAGCACATGTTTTGGCAACTGAACTCTCCATGGAAGGTTCTTGTTCCTGGATTTGTCTGTGGCACTGTCTCAGCTCCGTCACTACCCACGGTCACACATCTCTTGCTGGATGGAGGTTGAACTGTCTCAGCTGCCAGACCTACCATGAAGATGGTAGTGCCAGGCACTTCCTTGCAAGGTTTCCCAAGAGAGCACTGTGCTCACAAAACCACACAGGCAGCAATAGAGCAGGCAGCAGAGCACAGTTTCAGCATCGCGGTGCACCGAGAACTGGGGGCCTGTCAGAGTCCCATGGGCGATATGGCACGGGCACACAGCGTATTTTCCTCCCCTGGAGATGAGGTGAATTTTACTTAGCCAAACTTCTTACGGACAATCTTTTTTTGACCCAGGTGACTGTGGCACAAAAAGGATCCTGGACAATACAGGCTTAGCTCTGTAGGACAGTGTGATTCAGGCTGTAAAACAACACACATCTGTCCACATCCAGCCACACAGCAATGAAACTGGGAGAAAAGGCCAGGACTCCTGTGTTACCCCTGGGGTGGCTTGTGACCCAGACAGGTCAGTAAGCACTCTTAGTGCCTGGACCTTCCCAAACCAGGCAGAGGGAGGAAGCGTCAAGCTGGGGTGTAAGGTGAGAGAAGGTCTGTAGAGGCTGGCTGTGTGGCAGGGCCACCAGCCAGAGGATGCCGGACATGTCCCCATGGGTAACGCCTTGCTATTCTTGTGGGGATGTCTCTGTCGTGTCTGAGCTGCATGGTGGAAGCGTCACCCGTCCCTGCAGGAGGAAACCAAAGCAAACACCTAAGCCCACCTTAGTGTAGGCCATGGTCTTGTCCTGGCCAGTGTTGGAGCTTCTGTGTCCCAGGCAAGCCTGGAACATGTTAACTGGCCCTGGAGTTCAGGGAGAAGGGTCCCATCAATGTCACTGAGCCCCTGGCTAGACATAGGAGTTTGTTGCTTCCTGGGATCTGGCTGCCTTCAGGTGTCCTGCAACACTGTCTGGTTCCCTCAGTAGAGCCGGCAGTCCCGGCTTGGAGCTTTTCCAGGCAGAGGGGAACCAAGTGAGGCACACAGGAAGGCGCGATGGGCACCCAGGCTGGGGACTGTTGGCACCAGAGCAGCTGACACAGACCACTTGTCCTGGGGGTCATAAATTCCCTATGGACTCCTGGCCTTCAGCAAGACCCAGTGAGCTGAAGGACAGGCAGCAAGGCTTGCCTACCTTCCCGGGGTTCCCTGATGGGAGAGTGGGGTGAAGGGGAGCCCCCATCCACCTTCATCCTGCCTGACTATAGATCTAGTTAGAAATGTAAATTAGGCTGTAGCTCCCAGTGTAGGCCATGGAGACATCTCAAGAGCAATTCAGCTCACCCAAGATCTGTGCTGGGCTATAGACATGCCAAGTCTTTTGGCTTTAGGGAGCCTTGGGCAAGGCTGGTCCTTCAAGCCCAACTTGAGTTAAGTGGGGGGAGTCAGACACTGTTCTCCCCTGTTGATCACTGCAGTGCTGCAGTACATGGCAGTTGTTGCTGTGTGCCCAGTGCCCAGAGTGCCCAAGCAGGTTCCCAGGAGACCTGGTAAATAGGTGCTCAAACAGAAGGAATCAGACCTTTTCTTCTGGGAGACTACAACTGCATGTGTGAGGTGGGACCTGACCTGTGGAAGGGAGAGTGCTGGCTAGTTCCCAGCACCGGCGCAGCCAATGCATGAGGTCTTCTGCAGATTTAGAGCCAAGAGGAGCCCAGAGGAGGCCTGGGGCTCGCTTGGTTCTGCTCGTTCTTTGGCACAGGGGTGAAGATGTGGTGACGTCTCCTTTCACAAACGTGTGGTCATCTCCTGCATCTCACATCACCTTGCTGTGAAGTTCCAGGACAAGTGGAGAAGTCTCCCTGGGAAGCTGGCAGGAATCTGCACACCAATCATACTGGCACTGCTTCAGACTAACTTGGGGGGCCATGGGACCATGAGGACATCTTCTTTCCCAGAGCTAGCAATCCCAAATGATAAGATTGTTTTATGAGTGTGAGGCCTTGTGGCTTCATACGGCTTTGAAACAGTCTCTTGTGCAAACTCCAGCACAAATACTTACGTCCTGCCTCTCAAAACTCAGCCTGGACCTCTCCCCTGGAGCTGTCACGCTGCTCTGCCTGATCCCGCTGTGTGTCGTGCTTCCGAACAGCATCCATGCCAGAAGCTTTACAGCATCCACCTCACAGCAGAAGATGAAACAATGCTGTAGGAAAAGCAATGAGTTCTGCCTGTAACATGTCCCAGGGTGAAACTGGATGTGCAACGCTTAGCAATATGCTTTTCATGTTGTGGGGAGAAGGAAAAGGAATTGTATATGGCAAAGGCTGAGGGTATTGAGATCATATCCCATTTCTTGCCAGAATTCATTGATTATTCTTGCACTTCTGCTACCTGAGTTGTGTAGATAGAGGAACTTAACAGCACGCGTCCTGGCTTTAAAGGCAACACTTCTCCAGGCGTTCTTCAAAAACATGGTAGGGGAATGGTTTCTGGAGAAGCATTCAGCGACGAGCAGGGCCAGAAGCTCAGCTGAGCTCTCCCGCTCCAGTTCCCAGGGGAATCCATCTGACATGCGAGCAAGGTGCTGTGGTGAGAGAGTGGGATGGGAGCCAATGTGGAGTGGAGAGCAGGAATATTGCAGTAGGAGGAGGGGACATGTCCAGCAATGGGAGAGGACTAGGTAAGAGAAGGTGCCCGATGAGCACAGGACATCCTTATGGCCTCCTCCTCCTGGCTGGTTTGGGAGGAGGCTCTGCCTAGCCAGCAGCACAGCTGGGGGCACTGGGGGCCCACCTCTCTCATTCTCAGGTGTCTAGGGCTGGCAGCCGCAGTGCTAGGCTGGGGGCATATTAGGGCCCTTTGGAGGTCTTCCAGCAGCATTTCAAGATAGGAGAAAGTCCCCCTGAGTCTGGGATCACGTCTGCAGTGTCTCACTGGGAGTTTGGGCTGGCCAGGAGGCAACAGCCTGCTGTTCCTCTTGTAGACAGTGTCTTCTTCCCTGATGAAAGGGCTGACTACTCCCTCTTTAATTACAGTAACGAATTTAGCAAGTTGGTAGCAGAGGAGTATCTCAGCTTCTTTGACTTCACTGGCCTGACCCTTGACAAAGCACTCAGGTGAGCTGGTCTCTGGCACTCCCGCGTAGGGCCTGGGCTGGACAGAGCGGAGCAGCGCGGTGGGTTTCTCCTTCGGGCTTCCCGATGCCATGGAGGCTGTCCATGTGATAGGAGCAGGGACTGGGGGGAGCTCCAGGTTGTCTTTTAATCTTTGCTTTGGTGTCATGTTTGGCACAAGCTACTGCCACCAAAAGTGGGCTTCGACTGGAGGGCCTAAAACCTGCTTCCCCATGGTGGAGAGCAGCTTTCCCAGGAATCCCCTCCCATACAAAATCAGAGCAAGTGGGAGCAACTTCTTCCCTTGGGATGGACAATCCATCCTGGTGCCATCAAGCCAGAGGTGGGTCAGATCTCAGCTGACAGCAT